CTGGGTCCTCATTTCACCCACCTTGGAAGGATCTCACCTTGAGCCAGTGAGATTTGAACCGCTGAACTGCAGAACTGCGGTCAGCTGAAGTAGCCTGCAGTGCTGCACTTTAACCACTGCGCCACCTCGGCTCTTAGATTCGCTCAAACCTGTCCAAACTGGCTGAATACCACCACTGTTGCAATATTACACCGGTGGCCTTCCCGTTGTACCTCGCAGGGAGTGTTCGACATAACGGACCCAATTGAGTCCCTCATTTCTGTGGCTAAAGTGAGACGGTTCTTAAGTGAGTTTGGCCGCACTTTATGATCCTGTGTTTGTTAAGAGAATCAGGGCTCCTGTTAAGTGGTTCAGTGAATCTGGCTTCCCCATAGTAGAAGATGAGAAAGGGAAGCAGGATAATAGTGCTACAGCCCTAATATATGGGTAAATAAATAGGGTGGGGAAGTATTTATGCTCCTTCTATCATTTATAAACCTCCAAGTGGCCTCAACGACCCTCCCAAAGGATGCAAATAACCAGCCGTCAGCAAGGACTATAAATCCTTCCATTCTACGCCATCCAGTCAGAGCTGAAGAAGCTTTTGGGATGAGAAGAGAAAGGTCTTCAAAGAAAAAAACCTCCAGAAAGTCCAATTGAAAAAAAAAAAGCACCTTTGGGGACACCTGGATGACGGAGAACCTCCATAGATATTCATTATTCACTGCTTCTTCCTGCTCCACACGGTTCATTACAAGAGCAGAAAGGAAGATGCCTACGGATTTCCTTTCGGGATGCTTGAAAGCATGGCTCACTCTGTTCTGACCCAGAGGAAGCATAAATCACAGTCTTAGTCCCCCAAACCCTCTTTCATTTATACGGCTGTGAATTATGGTCATTCCCAGTCCGCACAGCTTCACAAAGAGTCTGTGAAGATTCCGACAGACGTCTGCTCGAGTTGCCACAGTCTTTCAGGGGAAGGTTGATAAAGACCCACCTTATCTCCCTTGCGATGCGGCCAGAAACCTAATTTGCCAAATGCAGAGCAAGGCCAAACTTAGCACAGAGTCAAACAGAACTTTTCCAAATTTGAAACCGACCAGCATGAACTAATTGCTCCCTGCAAAAGCTCACTTCCCTTTCGCTCCTCTTTTATGTCTTATGGGAGGGGCCAATCATCTCCAAGCCTTACTCACAAGTCAACCCTGTTTCCTTAATTGTTCTTGCCTTCTGGAAGCTCTGCGCATGCACACACTGGGAACAGGCTCCAGCTGTTCTTCTGTCTTGCTGATGTCAGACTCAGGAGGCAGCACATAACCCTCAGATGGTCTTGGCCCCCTTTCTGCCTCCGACACAGAGCCCTCATCCGAGCCTCCCCCAGACTCCAGGACTGGCCCAGGTTCCTCCCCAACCTCCTCACTGTCTGACTCTGCTACCAGCTCTACTGGCCGCTGGCGGGCCACAACACACTCGTATTTATCGTGCTAAGTGTAAAGGAAGATGGGTTCACCGACAAATGCGCGCACGACAAAAGCACGCCGACAAAACCGCGGCGAGAAAACCGCGACGTCGAAATCGCGCCCACAACAGCGCGCCGACAAAAGCGCGCCGACAGACAAAGCAAAAACAACGTAATAACCCTAACCCTAATCACGCTTTTGTGGGCGCGGTGTTGTGGGTGCGATTTCAACGTCGCGGTTTTCTCGCCGCGGTTTTGTCGGCATGCTTTTGTCGTGATGGAGCTTCTCCTACGTGACTCGAACGGAGACCTTGAAAATTGTCACGACNTCTTCCTTTCCTTTCCTCTTCTCTATCTTCCTCTCCTAACCTCTCCTCTCCTAGCCTTGCCCTTCCCTCTTTCTTTCCTCTCCTCTATCTTCCTCTCCTCTCCTCCCTCTCCTCTCTTCATTTCGCCTCTCCCTTCCCCTCCAGAATTGTCCCTTTTTGATAGTTTCCCAAAAATACAATTCCACTTTGTGATGTGTGACTTCCCACAGAACACCAGACCTCAGAGTGCTTAACTGGAATTCATAAATGGGCTTGTAGTTTTCCCTTCCGGGCTGATGCCCGCTTGCAAATCACCGTTTACCAAGTTGGATCACTTCAAATTCAACGACGGGACGTGGTTTGGTGTTTGAAGAGTGAGCTCAACCAGAGGAACTCAGCACTTTTTCCTCCTCTTCCTTCTACAGGACCGACGTCGGTGGGGCTCGATTTCTCACTCCCGGGAGTGGAGAACATGTATGGAATCCCAGAACATGCCGATAACCTCCGCCTGCGAACCACGGAGTAAGTTTGGGGTCTCCGGAAGTTGTATATGTCCCAACACTGGAGGTTTTTAAGAAGAGGCTGGACAGCCGTTTGTCTGAAATGGTTTAGGGTTTCCTGCCTGAGCAGGGGGTTGGACTAGAAGACCTCCAAGGTCCCTTCCAACTCTGCTATTGTATTCCATTCCATACCATGCCAAATTCTATTCTATTCTGTAGTTTATTTTATTCTATTCTATTTCTATTCCATTCCATATTCTATTCTATTCTGTAGTTTATTCTATTCTATTCCATTCCATACTCTATTCTATCCTATCCTATCCCATCCCATATTCTATTTCTATTCTATTCTATTCCATTCCATTCCATGCCATGTTCTATTCTATTCAATTCCATTCCAAATTCTATTCTATTCTTTAGTTTACTTTATTCTATTCTATTTCTATTCCATTCCATACCATACTCTATTCTATCCTATCCCATCCTATCCCATACTCTATTTCTATTCTATTCCATTCCAAATTCTATTCTATTCTGTGGTTTATTTTATTTTATTCTATTCTATTTCTATTCCATTCCATTCCATACTACTCTATTCTATCCCATACCATACTCTATTCTATTTCTATTCTATTCCATTCCATTCCACTCCAAATTCTATTCTGTTCTATTACATTCCATACCATATTCTATTCTATTCTCTTTTTATTTTTATTCTCTTTTACTCTCTTTTATTCTATTCATTTCTTTTTCTATTCTATATCTATTCTATATCTATTCTATATTTCATTCTAATTCTATTCTTATTCTAGTCTAGTCTAGCCTAAATATAAACCCTTTAGGCAATGTTTTTCCTTGCTCTAACGATCTCATATCTCGGTAGGGGAGGAGATCCATTTCGTCTCTATAACTTGGATGTCTTCCAATACGAACTCTACAACCCGATGGCTCTCTACGGATCGGTCCCGGTGTTGTTAGCTCACAGCGCCCAACGGACCCTCGGCATATTTTGGCTCAACGCAGCCGAGACCTGGGTGGACATCACCTCCAACACAGCTGGCAAGGTAAGTGGTGTGAACTTTGCTGCTGCTTTACACAGGTAGCCCTCGTCCTAAGGATGGCAAGTGAGCCCAGAATGTTTGCAGCTAAGCGAGGCATTCGTTGAATGAATTTTGTCCCATTTTACGACCTTTCTTAACACCGCAGTTTTTTAAGTTAGCCACACGGTCGTAAAGCGAATCCGGCTTCCCCCCTTAACGTTTGCGCGTCAGATGGTAGCAGAAATGGGATCCCATGAACGTGAGACACTGCGACCGTCATAAGTATGAATCGGTCTCCAAGCATCTGACCATGGGAATGCTGGAATAGTCATAAGGGTGAAAAACGGTCATAAGTCACTTTTTCAGGGTTTTTGGCACTTTAAAAGGTCGCTAAAACAAATGTTTGTAAGTTGAGGCCTTCCTTTTAGGAGAATTTCCCTAGTTATTTACCTCAGGAGTCTCCAAACTTTTAAGACTTGTGGACTTCAACTCCTGGCTATCTGGCTGGCTGGGGAATTCTGGGAGTTGAAGTCCAAAAGTCTTAAAATTGCCAAGCTTGGAAACCTCTGATTTACAGTAATCTAGCTGGCTGCATTACTTATTTCTTAGTTGACCATAAGGAAGGCTGAGCGCCAAAGAATGGAGGCCTTTGAACTCGGGTGCTGGAGAAGACTCCTGCATTGAGTCCCTTCGACTGCAAGGCCATCCAACTGGTCAGTCCTAGAGGAGATCATCCCTGGCTGCTCTTTAGAAGGACAGATCCTGAAGAGGAAACTCAAGTACTTTGGCCATTTAAGGAGAAGGGAGGACTCCTTG